ATTAAATATTGCTTGTTTACCTCATGACTTTAATCTTCAGATTAATTATCCGACGGGATATCTGGATATTTCATTCTAAAGTTTCCACCTCATGTTCACAATTAAATTAGAAGATGGGCGCGAAGCGCCCTCTAAGGCTAGTATATATAAATTTGGCTTGTCTGTCTGTTTGTTTGTTTGTCTGTCTGTTTGTATCCAATAAACGTCAAAATCTGCGAATTTTTTTTTTTAAAACCGCAAAATTTTTTTCTATTTTGTTTTAAACGTAAACAAAAAGAACATGTTCACAATTTAAATATAAGATGGGCGCGAAGCGCCCTAAAAACCTAGAAAGAAGGGCGTGACGCGCCTTGAATTTCTAGTATTTTTAAAATTGTTTAACATCCAAGAAAAGATGTAAAATTAATCATGAAAATCGTGAGATTTAATTTCATGAGAAAAACTTGATGGGAATACATAATTTTCTTTTCTAATATACTGTAATTAGATTTTGTTCTAGAATGTTCTAAAATCTGTAAATATATCCTTGTAAAACCAGGCCACGTATTTATTTGAAATAAGAAATAAAACTTACAGTGATTACCAGAAAACAGTGGAATGCAATTCCTCTTCAACCTTTCTTTTCCTTAAGGAACGGCATGAAGGATGTTGTTATTTGTAATTGTGTTAAAACTGACAAATTAATTGAGTCTTTGCGACAATCTCTGATTTTATAATCCCTATACCTTTGCAACCCAATTCTGTGGACCTGAGATATTTAAAACTATAAATTCTGTCAAATCAAACATGATCTAAGTTTGAAATATCAAAGGTTTACACCATCAGGTTGTACAGATTTTTGATAAAAATGTAATAAAAAACAAATAAAAAAAAAGTAAAAAACTTTTTTTTCAATTACTCTCAAATTCATTCAGCATAACTTTTTTCTAGAGACAAATTCACATATTTCAACATGTTTCTAAAGATGGTTTTCAAAAAATCCGTCTTGAAGGATCGACTGAATTCAAAAAGGTTAAACTCTTAAAAATCTTAAAAAATAAAATAAACTTTACAGTGCATGGAAATAAAGAAGACTTTAAAGTTCATGGAAATTAAGAAGACTTTACAGTGCATGGAAATTAAAAAGACTTTACAGTGATTGGAAATTGAGAAAAAAATTTTTTTTCCCCCTAGATTTTAGAGACTGTAAATGAAAAATGAAAGAGGGGGTTATAGGATGAAACCTGCGAATCTCAGGCGTTGAACGATACATATAAGACATATATCTAATGTTTCTGTCTCGAGAAATTGATAAACAATTGGGTCAAAATTGTACGAAAATTCATATGAATATAAACAATTTTGTATAGAAGTAGTAGGTTCAAACAGATCATATTCAGCAAATACACAACCAATCTGAAAACGTTTATATCCAACAGGAGCCTGAGAATCTCGGGTTTCCTTCTATTATAATTTTTTCATTTTTATTTTGCATTTTTAATATATATTATTACAATATTATTTCATATAGTCCGTATAGTCCGTATTTCGTCACCAGAACTTCAGTCAATGGCAGTGCAGTATACTGGTCACGTGGTTTCCGTCTATACTATCTGTAATAGTGAGACTACAGAAGGACTTTAATGTAAATTATAAAAAATAGGAATATTTATTTTATTTCGTTGTTTTTGACGAAAGAGGCTCAACAAAATTTCGTAAAAATAGTTTTTTTTTAAATCTTTTAATTTAAGAGATTAAATTGAATCACAAAAAACTTTAAATTCCAAAAAAGCATACTTCAATTTGTGTTCTCGTTCTAATTTGCATAAAACGCAGAAAACTACAACTCCTATCGTGAAACAACATAGGTTGCATTCTCAATTCTTGTTCTAATAGCAATTATAATCCTTGCTTAAAAAAACATAATAAGCATCCTGGGTCCCAAGCAATCATGAAAATCATGCTAAAATATCGTCAAACTGACAAGTGTTCAAAGCTTTGATTCTTGTTTAAAAGATGGTTCAAGTGTTTCTTTACTCAGATTCCACTGAGAATTAGTCAGGTAAATATTAATTCACTTTATGTATAATTAAAACCTATTATTCAACTTTTCAGACCTAGACAGGTCTTTTATAAGAAACTGGCCTTTTAAGAGCGCTTTTAGTTTTGCTGAAAAAGCGGCCATTTTTAATCGTTTTCGGGGAAGTTTCAGCTTAATTTTTTTCTTGCGCATTTTCTATGATTTTTGACATTTTTCCTGGGACATTTTTTTTCTTTGACGGACCATACACATTCCCTTGATTCATGTGAGTTTCTATAATAGTAATATTGCCACGTTTTAGGAACAGGAAGCAAATTATTATCTTTTGCTTATTTTCCCGACTTCCTTGCCGCTTCACGCCCTTTATTTAGTAATTTTAAATTCCCCTGCCTGCATACAACATAGAATAAATATTTCATAGATTTTTCTCTTATTAAATCTAAATAAATGTAGATTAAATTTTTAAATATTTAACATTTTTAACAATTGATGGATCATGTGAGGTACTAGGTTTTTTTTTTCAAATTAGTTACATTGAGAACCAGAAAACTGTGGAATAGGAAGACGACATTATAGCAAAATTAAGTGTACTTTTGTTGTTTTGAGTAACTTATACAATAACTTCTTAGGTGAAATGGGTCTGTTTACACCGCACATATGTTTATTGGACTTTGAGTCTATAAGTCGTCTTACTATTCCAGGATTTTCTGGTTCTCACTGTTCTCCATTTTAGATCTTCACCATGGGGGTCTTAAACTTATTCTTAGTGTGTGCTATTTACAGCGTTCATACCTCTCTAGTCACGGGTAAATTTCAATATTTTTATTATTTTCTGGTTTTTTATTTTCATGCTTATGATAATTTTTAGTTTTTATTTATTTTATTTTTACAGGTGCTTTCTTTGGAAGTGCGCTGTCTGGTATGAATTTTTGATATTTGATTTAAATAGTGTGTTATGTATTTTCAAGTACACCCCCCCTCCCCCTTTATCTGACCAACAATGAGGAAAATGTCGTCAATTTTTTAAAAAAAATGTGTTAGATTCTGATAAATTCCTTCATCTTCTCTGCAATTTAAATCTGCAAGTCCCTTCTTCAGAGAAAAATCAACTGGAAATGATCGATTTTTAACACACAAAAAAACACAAGAATATCATTTTGCTCCGATAGATTATAAAAGGCCGTACTGTTTAGAATCGGCCCGGCCCCTCTTTCGAATGAAGGGTCATTTGAATTTACGCCTACTGTCTCTTTAAACATATTGTTTATTTGTTAAAGGTGGTGTAAAAGCTGAATTGCAACCTTTGGAACAAAAACCCTTGGTAAGAATTGCTAGGGCGAAAAAGCAAAAGGATGATGATAACAAACCAAACCCTGAAAATGGAGTAGTACCAGAAAAGGGAAATGGGGCAAAACCAGGAAAAGGAAAAAAACCAACAGCTCAGGGAAAAAGCAAGAAGAAAAAGTTGAATAAACGTAGGAAAAAGAAGAATGGACGACAGGGTAAACCAGGAAAGCAAAACAACAAACCTGGAACATCAGATAAACCAGAAAAGGAGGAAAAGCCTGTGAAAGAAGAAAAACCTGCAAAGACAGGAAAAGGAAAAAAAAGCAAGTCAAAAAAGAAAAAGAAGAATGGACTTGGTAAAAAGAAAAATGGAATTGATAAAAAAAAGAAAGCAATAGAGAGGAAAAGAAGGAGAAAATTAGACGCAGGAAAGAAAAATGAAGAAGGAACATCAAACTCCAAAAACGGAGGCAAAAAGAAGAAAGAGACAGGAAAATCAGCTGCTGGCAGAAATACCCTTAAACAAACAATAACAGATCAATGCGTTTTGGTAAGAAACATCTCATAAATTAACTTTATAATTTTTTGGAGTAAACTTTTTAGGAAATCAATTGCAGACACCTTAAAAATAGTAACAATGATAACCAGAAAACAATGAAAGAGAAATACGAGATTATAGAAATAGAAAGTGTTCTTGATGTTGTAACAAAGCCAATAGTTTTACGAGATACTTATAGACTCACTAGTTTAATAAAATGGGCCTGTTTACTCTGCACAATTGGACTTTTTAAAGTTATAACTTTATTCTAAAAGTCGTCTTTCTATTTCAGAGTTTTCTGAATATCCATTTTGTATATTTAGGACCTTGTTGAGCTGGGGGGAATATTTGGCAACCAGGCCAGAAATTTCTTCCAAATAGCTACTCGTGCACTCACATCTAGCTACGCCATTGGAAACAAAACAGAGAAGAAAACTAACTTCAAGGATCCGTTCAGTATTCTTGTTAACAACCTGGGAGGAGATTTTTCAAATCTTACTTGTTCAGGAAAATCTGTAAAAAATGATTCTGTTTCAGGTAAAAAAATATTCATGTCTTAATGAGTAATGGGATCCAATAGATGTAGGAGATCCTGTAATTCTATTTCTCTCATGTTAATCCCACTCTTCATTTTCGTCTTAATCATTCACATGCTTAAGACAAACAACCAGTAGCTTTAGTTGACCAGCGTGTTGGATGTCCGGCCATTTTAAAGTTCATGGAGCTCTCCTGATCTGTAGCATTTTGAAACCGCTCCAAAGGGAAACATTGAGCACAAACTGTTTAAACGTTTAAAGTTTTATCCCACAGCAGAAACATATTTCTACTAGGTTACCCACAAAGGCTGACATTTCAAAGACGATTGGGCGGAACTTGTATTATCTGTTTCCTTAAGTTCATGATTCCTTTTCAGCCAAATCATAAAACAAGCCATTTATAGACAACAGTCAAGGAAATGGACTCCTAATGAGAGTCAAGTCGTCTTTACAGTCTCATCCTCTGTGGGTTAACCCTGTAGAGTAAATTGAATTGATATCTTAAAAGAACAACATCAATCAACTTACACTTCTTTCAATGCAAGTAAATAATCATGTTTTATTCAAGTTACCGCTGAGACCCTGGCAGCCTGTGAGGTTCAAATTGAAGCTGCTTGCAATGGAAGTTTGACAGCTGCAGAGGAAACTCAAATTTCTGCCTGCAGAACAGCATCAGATGAATTCAGGTTCTCTTCAATAAATATTATTATTATTGCTGTATTTTATACAACAGTGTGATTCTAAATTCAAGATTTATAATAATTATTAGCATCATTGACGGGACTGTAAGCGTAATTTCAAATGACACTCAATGCAAAGATGGCAATGTGGAATTTCAAACCTTTATCTGAATAATCTGAAAAATTTTGTTGTTTTTTCAAGCGTTAAACTTAAGAAATTCCTATAGATCTTTTCCTATTCTTTGAACGAGTCACTTTTAAAGAGAAGTCACAATTGATACAATTCAGTTTTCAAAATTATAAATATGTAAATATAATTCATACTTGATCAGACAAAGCTTAAAAGGTACTATTGTGAATCCGGAATGGTCATCATTGCAAAGAGGGTCACTTGAAATTACGGCAAACAGTCCCTTTAAACTTGCATTAATAGGAAACTCTTCTTATCTCTGATGGCCAATGGAAAGACAGCAGCAGAGGTAATTTAATTTGACAGCCAATAAATCATAAATATTTTTTTTACAGAACCATATCATATGGCACTATGGCACGTCGATATCAAATTTGATTTGGGATTATGCGCACTCTTTATTCACCTTTATCTAAAAAGATATTATAACAACAATATAACATTGATAAATACAATTTATAAACTAATTTAATACAGTGAAACCCTTAATAACGAATACATCGAAAGAATTCACCAAATGTCGTCTTCTTCACTTTCTAATAATGGAATGTTGCAGACATTTAGTTTTTTAATTAAATGATTATATGGAACTCTTTAAAACTGTTACCGCATATTCATGACTATTTATTTATTTTCGCAAATGCTGAAATTTACGTAATATAGTATAAAATTCATCGAAAAATTGTCAAGACGACATTTGATAAATTCTTCCGATGTATTCGTTATTAAGGGTTTCACTGTATTAATACTCATGTGAATGTAACCTTTTAAGAGTGATTTAATTAACCCTATCCCCGCTGGGGTACTTGAAAACCAGGATACGCTGGGGGGGGGTCAATTTGACCCATATCATGTGAAATATAATAAATCATAAACTTTAATTTAATAATAACTTTGATTTTTACATACTTTTCTGTCCTTTACAGCTCTGCACTGCTACCACTGATGCGAGCCTTGTTAGTCTAAAGGATCAAGTAAAGAATTGTTCCTTTTTGACTACAAGTGGAGGTATGGCACAGTCTAAGCCTGGTCAAAGAAAAGCATGTAACAAAGGTACATTAATAAAAATAACATCTGAATCAGCACTGAATAATTTTATAACAGATCAGCATTTTAAAATAAAAACATTTCAGCTTTTTCTGAGTGCCGAACTGCAGAGAGAGAAACAATTTCAGCCATTAATAGATGTGCCGTTTGCCCAACCACAGCAGATGCCAAACAAGAGTTGGCTGCTCTTGAAAAGTAAGAGCATCTTTTTTAGAAATTTCAAATCACATGGCATTGACTTTGATTGAATTGATAATTTTAAACTAAATTTTAGTCTAGCTGGAGCATTAGAAGCATCTGAGCAGGCAGTTGGAGCTGCGTTGGAAGCAGCCGGAGTAGCAAGCGGACCTGGAGCAGATGGAACTGTAAGATTATTTATTTGCAATAGTTTTTCTTTTAATTTACACAAATCAGCGATATTGAACTTCTGACGTACTTGCATGTGGTTTTACTGCTGCTAGTTGGACAAACTGGCCACTGCACTTAGCCCCCTAGCCTTTCCTTCTGGCAGTGCTTATGCTCACCCTGACTTAACCCTCAAATTATTTAAAATAAACAGCTTTTGTAGGTCAGAAAGTTAGTGAAGGGATGTTTAATAACATTAGCTTTATTTACCAAAAAACTGGGCATACTGATGATTCCACATATAAATTCTTTTTACCTTATTTACCTTCAAAAGTTTGAGCTTTCAACTGCAAAAAAATTATTGTTTTTATCTTTTTTTCTCAAATCTCATTCTAAAAAACACATTTAACATAAAATTGATCAGATTTATACTCAATCCTCATATTTTAGCTTCCTATTGCACCAAAGCAGGGAACTGGAAAACAAGAGGCTCCAGGGTGTCAGGCAGTTCTAGAAAGTAAGTAGTTCTTTTGGTGAATGATATATTTGATCTTTAATCTTCAAGAAGTTCTTTAATACTGATTGTTATAGGTTATATCGCCTTCAATAAGAGTGCAGAAGCTACTGGCTCTGATCCAAACAAAGCTCTTAACCAAGCCCAAGCTGCAAAAGCAACTGAAGCGTTGACTGAAATTGGTGCTCGGTAAATGCTTCGCTTTATTTTTTATATTTATCATGAAATCAATGAAACTTAACTAAAGTGTTTGTTTAGGCCAACTTTAATTGAGGACCTGATCTCTTGCTCAAAGGCAGAATCAGTTACAATCCGAGCAATTGACTACATCAGGTATTGTCAACAAAGAATAGTCTGTTGAATAATCTGTTGTCCTTAAACCATACAATTTTTAGATTTTATCTCTTCTGGGCTAAAGAATGGAGGAAAAATGTTATTCTAGTTCGTGTGGTTGCTGTTGCTACCACTTTTAACATTCCATCCCCATTAGCTCCTAATGTAGTGGCTCCATCAACAACTGCAGCTCCAGCAACAACTGCAGCTCCAGCAACAACTACAGCTCCGGCAACAACTGCAGCTCCAGCAACAACCGCAGCTCCAGCAACAACAGCAGCTCCAGCAACAACCGCAGCTCCAGCAACAACCGCAGCTCCAGCAACAACCGCAGCTCCAGCAACAACCGCAGCTCCAGCAACCACAGCTCCAGCCACAACCATAGCTCCAGCAACAACAGCTGCACCAGCATCAACTGCAGCTCCAGCAACAACTGCTGCTCCAGCAACAACTGCAGCTCCAGCAACAACTGCAGTCCCGGCAACTACTAATGCTCCAGCTACTTCAGCAGCTTCCACTGCTGGATCAACTGGTGGTTCATCTGCTTCTACTGCTGCATCAACTGGTGTTTCAACTGCTTCTACTGCTGGATCAACTGGTGGTTCATCTGCATCAACTGCTGCTTCTACTGCTGTATTAACTGGTGGTTCCTCTGCTTCTACTGCTGGTCCCACTGAAGGTTCATCTGCTTCCACTGCTGGTTCAACTGATGGTTCTATTTCTTCAGATTCTTCAGCTTCTTCAGAAGCTTCTCCTTCTTCAGCTTCTTCAGCTTCTTCAGCTTCTTCAGAAGCTTCCGCTTCTCCTTCTTCAGCTTCTTCAGCTTCTTCATACATAAGCTTTCCCTTCTTCAGCTTCTTCAGAATCTTCCTCTTCCCTTTCTTCAAAAGCTTCCTCTTCAGCTTCTTTAGCTTCTTCAGAAGCAGCAGCAGGTCAAGTTTAAATTTCTTCAGCAGCATCTTTTTCAACATTAACAGCAAGGGGTTCATCACCTGCAACACCAGCAACTTCTTCACCTCGTGCCACAGAACCTTCTTCACCTACTGCACCAGCTGTGTGAGATGGTGAACATTGATCAACACAATTTTCTTCACATGGATGCCATCTGATTATCAATATTTTTCACGTCCTAGCATTAAAAATTAATATGTTTAAAAATTATGAATCAGCTAAATGCTAGGATTTATTTGACTTAATTGTAACACTTTTTTCAAAATAAACTAATTTCTTTTCATTTTTTAGAAATTGTATTCTTTTTTGTTTGTTAATTTTTGTAATGAACTCATTTCATAATAATATACCAAATACCCAAAGATATATTGTGATTGATACAACCCTTATTTCTCCAGACATGGGTATTTTTTTCCACTAACTACTTTCCCAGACTGTATTTGTTCTTAATCGGCAGGTTTTTTTACAGAAATACATTGAGAAATGTTTCTACAGGCTCAGTGACCTCTACAGCAGTATATTAATTATCTACACACATATGCTGAGATACCAAGGGGAGGGGGGTTCCAGCTAGCACTGGCAGGAAATTGGGGGAAGCAGAGGCAATTTATGGGTTTGGCTGGAAAGAGAGACGTCCCCCTCCTTGGAAAACTGGGGGAATGTCCTCCCCCCCCCCTGGAAAAATTAGGAGCGCAAGAAGAGAGAGCTGTCCTTTAATTTTTATGTTTAAGAATAGAATCCAAATTGTTTTTGTGTCTACGGCGCCACTTTTTCACTCAAATTAAAGACTTTTTATAAAAATCCAAATCCTGCTAACACATTTTCCACATTTCACCCCCAAGCTGCTGCTCATGGTTTTGGCCAAATTCACTGTAAAAAATTCCAGTGGGGGGATTTTTTTTCCAGGGGTTGGATAAAAAATCTAGGCGTGCTCTGCGCGCAATATTTCAATTATTTCCACAACCTGAAGCATATCATGAGCTGCCCCTTTATGGAGGAAAGAGTTTGGTGGTCGGGGGGGGGGGGGGGGGGGGGGGGGGGGGGTGATCTGACAACTCTATATCTATATACTCTAATATTTGGATAAACTTTGTTTTGCTCAACTTTATAATTGATTTATACCTAAAATGCGATATTCTTTTAAAAGTTAAATTTTTCAAAATCTTCCTTACTCCAAAGTGAGCTACCCCCATATAAATTATTAGCAGTATAAGCTTAGATTTACTCTAATTCAAGAAGCCCAGAGCTCTAAGTTTTATCAAATAAATTTTATTTTGTGTTGGTCAAAAACAGAGCAGACATTTTAGATATTTCTAATCCAAAGCTAATATATACTTTTATGTGTGTTTGTTGGTTTGTTTGTCTCCAATAAACGTCAAAACGGCTGAACCGATCGGGCCCAAATGGATGATCACAATATTAAAAATTAGCCTCCAACAAAATGTTTTATAAAATCCGCAAACTTTTTTTTTAGCTTTTTCTTTTTCAATAGATGTATAGTTCACAATACATATTTATATAGAGAAAATGTTTGCAATTGAATTTAGAAGATGGGCGCAAAGCAGCGCCCAGAAAGCATAGTATTAATTTATTTAATAAGCAAAACATGCAATAAACTTCTTATTACTACTATTGCACTTTAAAAACGGTTGATTGCGTATTATTTTCAAGTTCATTAATTCTTTTATGTGAAAACCAGAAAAAGTACATACATTAATAATTTATTTACTAACTTTGTATTCTTCAACAACATTTTACATTCTTCTTGAAAAGTATTCACACATTGATTCACTTTACTCCTGAACCAAAAAGAAGATTAAATTGAGTCTTTAGAGTATAAATTAATAAAAAAAAATTGTAACATTGTTTTTGATTTATTTGACCAATTGAGTGCGGGTTAAGTACTTTAAAACTTATAACATAATATAAAAAGACATAGAGAAATGAATGAAAGGAAACATTAATCTATATTAAATGCTTTGCTTTTTTTGTCTATCTGTTTGCTTCTAAGAAGTCAAAAATGGTGAGCCGATTGGAAACAAATTTTTGAGTTATAACTCTGAACTCACATGACCCCAGAGAGAGTTTATAGTGGCGACTTGTACAGCAACAGATTAAAATTGAAATAGAGCATGGGTACTGGAATAGGGTATAGCTACGAGGCTCGCGCACAAATGAAAGGTCGATACGGTACGGGGGGAAGATATGTACATGTCTTATGTCACTGATTAAAACTATTGGTGGAGAATTCCAAGTCTGCCAAAGAAATGCCAATCACAATTATGCGCATACTCGCCTACAACAGATCTTATCCCAAGACAGTTCTAGGACCAGTGCCCTATCCTCTGTGTCCTGTACCGGGTTATGACGTAGGCAAGTTACAGAAGCTAGAATCACTAGAATTGTATGACTACCTTACCCTATTCCAGTACCCATGAAATAGAGCCTAACCTTATCTTCTATAGTTGACTCGGCCCAGGCAGGAATACAACTGTACTCATTCTTCATAGAGTCTGGTACAGGGAAATTTCCTAAACAATCTTAACAAAATCCAGGGGTCCATATAATTCCATTTCTGATCCCCAGAGGTGCAACTAGGAGGTGGGCGGCCGGGCGCACGCCCTCCCTAGCACCTGAGAGGGGGGAACGCCCCCTCCCTGCAGAATGAAAAGAAATATCATTTAGGGATTTAGGGATTAGAATATTTGAGTTTGTGGCAAAAACTCAGTTCCAAATCCAGAGAACATTCTGAGACTGAACCTGGCAAACTTCTAACTGACGGTCTCAATGGAACAGTGTGAACTGATTATCATATTTGATAACCTGTTTATCTTCTTTGAAAGAACATCTATAAAATCGAAAATAAAATATAATTATGAATGTTGGTTAGAATGATCAATCATAAATTCAATAACTTCAGGAGAAAACATAACATTATCGGTCCTTTTTCCATGTAGATGATTGAAATTATATATTTATAGGATGTTTTTTTTCAGAGTATATAAATGATTATTTCTTGTAATTTAATCTGTTATTAAACAAGTTACTTAACAAATCTCCGCGCCCACAAGAAAAGAATTGATTGACTCATATCGTTAATTTTGCAGTTGTTGAAAGTATAAATATAAATAAAAACACAAGAAAAAAAAAAGATTTTGAATTGAACACAGCCAAATCTGCATGTAACAACTGAAAATTTTCTTTTTTTCGACATCAAACCCTTAAAAAAGTTCTTTTATTTTGAAAAAAAAACCTTCTATATTGGGGCCCCCCACTGAACCCCCCCAGACCGTTACAAAATAATATTTTGCCCCCCACCCCCCATACCAAAAGTGCTAGTTGCGCCTCTGCTGATCCCAAATGGGATCGTGGGTTGAAAGTACATTCAGAGGCATGAAAATACACTAGCTGTGTCATTGGGAACTTAGGCAAGTTGTTTGTGTCGTGTACTATCAAGAAGTATGGAATATAAAGGAAAGGGAATCGACCCGGCCCGCCCTACCATAGATGATTATACATGTTTTGCAAACGGTACTTCATTTGAATAAAAAGATATTTGTCTAATGTACAAATACCGCGTACATTTTACAAATTGGAGTATATCTTTAAAAGTTGTAAAACTTAACCCCTGCTTAGTTTATCAAGGTGGAGCATATGACTATGAGCGGACTGTGTTAGTCTGTGGTTTCTAATAACAACATGGTTACTTTCTGCCCCCTTCTATCAATCAATCAACATTTGGGATCGTATTAGATGGAATCATATGGACCCCTGCAAAATATAGATTTAATGTTTCATACGCAAAACAAACATTTTTAACTTTGTTTTCCTCAACGCTGCAATTTCTTTTCAGCATGTCTGAGACAATTAAAAACAATAGGCCGGATACTGTCTGGCCGCGCCATCAAAGTTGAACCCTGTTCGAATTCAAATTGGCCTTAGTTTACCGTGACCCTGTAGGACAAAAATTACCTTTCTCCCATGCGTCTAAATACCAGTCCGGACAATAGTTTAACTCATATCCATATCGAACAAATATCTCCTCACCCTGAAATGAAAAGTCGGCTTTTTCAAGACTTTTTGATCCAAGTTTGTGACTAGTTTAAAATTGAAATTGATAAAGTCGAATTTTTACCACTTTTTGTTCCAAGTTTGTGACTAGTTCAAAACTGATATGAACAAACCAAAACTTTAGGTTCCAAGTTTTTGACTGGTTCAAAACTGGGATAAAAAAGTCGATTTATATATTACTTTTTGTTCCAAATTTGTGACTAGTTCAAAACTGGTCTGAAAAAGTAAACTTTTTGTTCCATAGTTTCGGACTAGTTATTAATAATCGACTTATATCCGACTTTAAGTTGACATTAAAGTCAGCTTTTCTAAACTAGTATTTTACGAGTTCTGTTCACTGGGTAATACATTTTTATTGTAAACTTTAAAGGGACTGTATACATGTAATCTCAAGTGATTCTTAATATAAAAATTGGCATGTCCGATTCACAACTGTACCCTTCAAACATTTGTCTGGTTAATTAAAGATTTATTCCTCTTTTTCTACCTTTAAAATTAATTATTTTCCATTGCCTGCGATTTTCCGCAAAAGTGATTTGCGGTTTACTGCAGAGAACAAATGCAATTTAAAAAATGTATCACTGGTTTAAGAAAACAAACAGACAAGGGTTTGAAGAGTTTAGGGTACCAATGTGAATTGGACATATTAGACAATGGCTGGTGGCCACAGTTACAGCGCAGTGCCAGGGAAGGTAACAAATGTAAAAAGCATGTAAATCCAAAGGGTAAGAAAATTTGGTCTAAACCTTATTTCAATTCATCAATTAATCAATTAATCAATTTATTGTTCATTTTAAGGTAAAAAGTTAATTGTAGATAAATTATAATAAATACCTTTGCTATAGAATGTTTTGAAGCAATACATGGAATAGTACCAAACCTGTGTTATCAATTATTTATTGTTTTTATCATTATTATTACTCTCTTGAATGAGTGTAATAGTCTCATTTAAAAACATATATTTAAGAGATAAAAATTGGATTTCGGGGGAGGAAGTCAAGAAATAAGTGCAGTCGTTGCCACAAACTCAAATTTTATAATCCCTATATCTTTGCAACCTAATGGCTATCATCTTAGATATTTTAAATTTAGGTTAATTTATCTGACAGATCATGGTTTGACATGTTTATAAATTTAAGGTCTAAGATATAGCGATTAGAAAATTAGAATTTGTGGTAAAGACGTAATTCCTTTCATCTTTATAGGGAAAGCACGTTATCAGTTATGTGGAAATACCAACGTTTTTTTGAATTATGCATAGAACACACATAAAATAATATTAATGAAACCGGAGGCCGAATTTAAAGAATTTGAGCCGCGTGTTAAATATGGTTGGTTCCACTTAAAATTGTATTCAATGTTTCAAGAAATAAACCGGCACTCAATGAAAACCGTCAGATTTGAGACGCGGCTTAAATTCATTAAATTCGGACTCATGTTTCCGATACTGAGTTTGATTTCGACAAATTTCGTGCAAATTCAACAAACATTTTTTTTGAGTTAATAGCACTCTATTTTGTGATTACCAACCTTAACTGCTGGATCAAATATCTTGTAGGCATTTTCATCCCAGGTCTCTGCATCAGCTGTCTTTTTTTTCAACGGATAAATCATTTCAGCTGACTTCCAAACTTTACAGAGCAAAAAAGTATTTGTTTGGCCTTCTTCAGCTAAAAGTATACAATAACATTTTCTTTAAACATGTACGCGGTATTTGCAACATTGGACAAATATTTCAAATGATCAGTACCGTCTGAAAAGCATGTTTAATCATCTATGGTAGGGCGGGCCAGGTCGGATCATTCCTTCTCCCTTATATTCCATGGACTTGGTATAAATACATAAATAAATGCAAAGATGGGTATACACTATTTACAACGGTACCCTTAAACCTTTATCTGATCAATAATGTGGAAGATATTGTCGTTTTTCAAGGCTTAAAAGTGATTAATTCTAATAAATTCTTCAGTTTTTACAAAACTTTAGAGGGTCACGTTGTGAATAGGGTATATTGCCATCTTTGCATGGAGGACCACCCAGCTGAAGAGCAGAAAAAAGATAAAATACAATAAAGCGTTAAATTAGAAATTAAATCGAAATTTGTGTTCAAATATTTATCCTTGCCTTTGGTTTCACTTTCTGCCCATGATAGAAAGCTGAAAATCAAAAATATCAAATTTAGTTTTTTTTTATAAAAATATCGTTGATTTAAAAAAAATTCAATTCTAGAAATGTAACTTTATTAACATTGTAGATTCTGACATAATTTAAATATTTTTGATTTTCCTAAAACTACGCTGGGAGGAATTGATTTCTTCGCAAAAAGTCCTAAAATACATTTTTTTAAATTGTTCAAATGTTGAGTTTTCCATATCAAATATAAATCATCTCGAATAAATGTTGACTGACAACTTCAAATTTCTAAAGAAAACGTTTTTCAGAATATAACAATGAAGACAATGAACTCGTTTAGAATTTTGACTTATCCAAATTCAGTCATATCAGCTTTCTTGAGTATAAAAACAAATCAGGATGTACTAAGATAAAAACTCATAAGGAAGAAAAAAATCAAAAGTTAAATTTTTTTGTTTAAAATTCCATATTTCAACACTAGAATGTTAATTTTAAATATTTTATCTTTAGTGATGAATAAAAAATATCCCTGTTACCTTCATTTGCACCAGGTACTCGAGACTTTCGCACCTAAACATCAACACAATTCATTGAAAGGGATTATGAGGGTAATTTCAAGTGACTCTCCATGCAAAGATGACAATGCCGGATTAACAACGGTATCCTTACAAGCATTCTCTGGTCAAGTGCTGTAAAACCCAAAATATTAAATACATCAAAAGAGTTTATAAAATGTCGTCTTGACAATTTTTCAATGGGTTTTATACTATTTTACGAAATCACAGTATTTGCGAAAATAAATTGATAGCCGTGAGTTTGCGGAAACAGTTTTAAAGAGCTCCATATAATCATTTCATTAAAAAACTAAATATCTGCAACATTCAATTATCAGCAAGTGAAGAATACGACATTTAATGAATTCTTTCGATGTATTTAATATTTAGGGTTTAACTGTATAAGTTAGATATCCCATGTTTACGTTTCTTTAGACTATTTATTATTTTTAGTTTGGTTTATCTACAAAAGTGACTTGCACATTTCTTGCTTTTGAGAAGCAATGAAGAAATTATCGGAATCCAACACTTTTCACATGATTAATGGGTTTAAGGGGTTTAAGGGGTTTAAGGGGTATAGTTGCAAATCGGACATTGCCATCTTAAGCCTGGAGGGTCACTTGAAATTATGCTCACAGTCCCTTTAAACCTTTAAAACATCAATGAGTAGATAGAGTAAGGCCTCGTTATTCGGAAACGAAACAAATCTTTTTTACAAAAAAAAACAATAAACGATTTAGGAAAATAAAGGAACAGAATTTATCATTGATTAAAACTTAATGCTATAATTTGCTATCTGAACAAAACATTTTTATTTTTAATTTTTTAATTAATCGTCTTTTTTCTCTCGGCAAAATTTTTGACAGTTTAAACCTTCCAAAGGATTATGACCAGAAAATTGTATAAACCAAGTTCAATAATGCGTATGATGAAGCAGGAATCGAGTGAAACCAGGAAGAATATCTGAATTGTACTTAACGAAGAATATACGTCAGTTCCACATACCATCTAGCGGGTTTCACATACACTTTATATTCGGCTATCAATTTTTTTTATCAATTGGAATAAAATATACAATAATAATAGTATCTTTAGTTGTGCTAGTTGTGCTAGTTATGCCTTTAGGTTATACCTTCCCACCTACCAGACTTTTTTCGGGTATTAAATGTGGGGGGGGGGGGCTGATAGATTTAGTGGTTTGGAATAATTTTTTTAAAAATTTTAAACTTTACACTTTAGTGGGATTCTAGTGATTACTAACCTCAACCATCTTGGACTCATAAGGATCGGGTAGAGTTGGAGTAGAAGTCACAAAATCATATGTTGATATTTCACGTCTAGATAGATTTTAAAAAAATCAAATTTATAAATCTTATATTTTTGTAAATTGATGGTGTACACCTTTGAAATTTAAAACTTAGAATATTTAATCTAACATAATTCATAGTTTTAAACATATAACACTGAGGTGCAAAGATAAAAAATTAGAAAAAAAACAAAAAAAAAAAATGAAAATTATTAAAAATCAAATTATATACAGGGTTTCCCATAAAGGATGAGAATTTAGAGACGACCGTGCAGAATTTGTTCAGCTTTTACTTATAAAGTGATGATTCCCATCAGCTTTCTATAGTAAAACTATTTTCATTAAAGATATAATATTTAATGGCGTCATTTAAAAACCCTAATTCAAATTTTAAATAATTCAGTCCAAAGAGTTTCAAGTTTTCATTAAAGTCTCATTCATTGGGGTAACCTTGTAATAATCAAGATTTTAACTGAGTAATAAATCTTGTAATAATCGAGATGTTAACTGAGTAATAAACCTTGTAATAATTAAGATAGAAACAGAGTAATAAACCTAGTAATCAAGATGTTAAGTAAGTAATAAACCTTGTAATAATCAAGATGTTAACTACAAGTCTACTATAGTATATAAATGTCTTAAATGACATTTAAAGTCTACTTATAGTATATAAAGGCCTAAATGACCTGTAAAGCCTACTAGTATAAAAATGGATAAAATGACCTGTAAAGTCTACTAGTAAATAAATGGATAAAATGACCTGTAAAGTCTACAAGCATATAAATGGATAAAATGACCTGTAAAGTCTACTAGTATATAAATGGATAAAATGACCTGTAAAGTCTACAAGTATATAAATGGATAAAATGACCTGTAAAGCCTACTAGTATAAAAATGGATAAAATGACCTGTAAAGTCTACTAGTATATAAATGGATAAAATGACCTGTAAAGTCTACAAGTATATAAATGGATAAAATGACCTGTAAAGCGTACTAGTATAAAAATGGATAAAATGACCTGTAAAGTCTAAAATAGTATATAAAAGGCTTAAATGACCTGTAAAGTCTACTAGTATATAAATGGATAAAATGACCTGTAAAGTCTACTAGTATATAAACGGATAAAATGACCTGTAAAGTCTACTAGTACATAAATGGATAAAATGACCTGTAAAGTCTTCAAGTTTATAAATGGATAAAATGACCTGTAAAGTCTTCAAGTTTATAAATGGATAAAATGACCTGAGTCTACTAGTACATAAATGGATAAAATGACCTGTAAAGTCTTCAAGTTTATAAATGGATAAAATGACCTGTAAAGTCTTCAAGTTTATAAATGGATAAAATGACCTGTAAAGTCTACTATTAAATAAATGGATAAAATGACCTGTACAGTCTACCCTCTGGTTCTATAAATTGTGGTACTTTGATTCCCAGATTATCAGTTGTAACTTTTTTCACAGATGACACCTGTAAAATATTCACACCTTGGTTTTGAAGATATATGTTGCTACCTACCTACCAACCTATTTACCTACCTATCTACCTATCTACCTACCTACCTACCTACCCACCCAGCTCCCTGCCTACCTACCTACCTAGCTATCTACCAACCTACCTAACTACCTACCCACCTGTTTACCTACATACCTTCCTACCTACTAACAAACCTTCCTCCCCACCTACTTATCTATGCTTCTTCCTAACTACCTACCCACGTACCTATATGGGTACACCTTCATAAACCTATCCTCGCAACCAACCAACCTACCTATCCACCTACATACCTGCCTACCTACTTACTTACCCTCCTACCTACCTACCTACCTACATACCTGGCCGAACTCAAGTACCCCGTCCCGGAAGTTTCCGACGAGAGCAGTTTTAAAATCCGGATAGATATATGCAATATTCGTTCCTAAATATTCATATACCTTACATGCTATATAACTATTGCAAACAATTAACTTGTTATTATTTTCTCCATAACAAAGAGGACCGTTCTAAACCGGTCTGTTCCCTTTTGCATAAAGTGTCAATCAAATCTAACCATACAGTCCTATTTTTAAATATTTTTTTAATATAGATTAAGAAGAAAAAAATACCAGACAGTTGGCCTTCCTCATCAACCACACCTACAACACATCCTCCACCTAATTATTATTGTTATTATTATTATTATTATTATTATTATTATTAAGTTGTGCTAGTTATGCCTTTAGGTTATACCTTCCCACCTACCAGACTTTTTTCGGGTATTAAATGTGGGGGGGGGGGGCTGATAGATTTAGTGGTTTGGAATAATTTTTTTAAAAATTTTAAACTTTACACTTTAGTGGGATTCTAGTGATTACTAACCTCAACCATCTTGGACTCATAAGGATCGGGTAGAGTATTCATAATGAAGATAATGAATAAGACAAGTGTCTAAATAGATATATCTGACCTCTGATAATCTTCCAACAGGTTCCAAATGGTTTACCATTTCTGTGCATACCTACAATAATGTATATTTATTACTTATAAATATAAACAATATTGATAAAATACTTGTCTGTTTTTTTTTGGTCCGTTTGTCTGTAACTAATAAACGTCAAAACGACTAAACTGATCGGGCCCAAATTTTTCTTAGTATACCTCACGTGACCCCAGTGAAGGTTTTATGAATGCTCAGAATTTAATAAAATTGTCTCCCAATAGTTTTTTCACAAAATTTTTAAATCCAAGAAAAAAATTGTAAAACCTTAACAATTTTTATTATTGTTTTATCGAAAAGAAAATGCTGAAAGATTGAGCAACAATTAAAAGTTAAACTGAAAGATGGACACGAAGCGCCTTGATAGTCTAGTATGGAGTCAAATGTATAGGTACATGTAAGAAAAATATGCAGTTTGAAAAGTGTACTGAAGTTTGAGGAATGAAAATAAAAACAATCGAAAAAAATTTTTTAATAAAATTTTAAAGTAAAAAAACCCCGTTGTTTTTACCGATAAATGTTAGTCGATTCTTGACATCAAAATATCTGCAGAATCCATGTAGAACACCATCTGAGAGCAGTTTTTTCAACAAAATATAAAAAAATAGAATATTACAAAATTCTCCAACACTCGGTAAAAATAGACCCCCTGTGCCTCACAGTTAGTGTGATATATGACACCCGTCCAAAGTTATGCAAGGGAACAATTTAGCATTTTTTTAGGCGTTTAAAGCCATTTTGATTGACAGCAGGGAAATTGAAAAAATTTTGATATTATTTTGTTGAAGACGTATTCCTTTAAAGTATCCGTCAAGCCAGTTCTCGTCTGTGAAATAAACTCTAAACAAGAGTAAACATTTTATAAATCTTACTTAAAGGTAATCTAAATATATAAATTTTACTTGTCTGTCTGTTTGTATCCAATAAACGTCAAAATAGATGAACCGATTGGGCCCAAAGTTTATGTGGGAACTCGCGTGACCCACGGAAAGGTTCATGAATGATAAAAATTTAAATGATTTAAAAAGTTTTTTTTTATTTTTGTAAGAAAATTTAAAATCTTGAAAATTCGCATATTTATTTTTTATAAAATCCGCGAAATTTTTTTTCTTTGTTTTTCAATGTTACAATGAGAACATGTTCAAAATGAAAATAGAAAATGGGCGCGAAGCGCCCTAAAAGCCCAGGGTTAGGTAAAAACTCTAGATTAGAATTAAAGGATTTTTGCCAATTTGAAATTTTTAAACTTATTTGGTAAATGGAAATGAGATTTGCAATTTGTATATTTACTAAAGTTATCCAGCAACCAGTAAGCCAAAAATACAATTTATTATGTAAGCGTAATTTCAATTAACCCTCCGTGCAAAAAGGGAGGGTGCCAGATTTACAACGGTTATAACCTTTGACTGATCATCGAGTGCAGAAAACGTTGTCTGTTTATCTCTAAAATAGTGCTTGAATTGCCGGAGTGTACGCTAGCGTGCAGCTAACATTACATATATTTCTCGAAAACTCAAGAATATTCTGTTTCCGACACAGTTTTCAATATCCTGATGCAAATATTTATTTTCTACACCTTTTTAATCTATATTTAGACTCCGCTTGTCTGTTTGTCTGTTTGTTTCTATCCAAAAACGTAAAAACGGCAGAACCGATCTGGCCCAAATTTGTGTGGTACCTCACATACCCCAGTGAAGAATTAATTTGCCTCCAACAAAATTCGATTTCCAAATCCACGAATTTTTTTTATGAAATCCGCGATAACATATTCACAAAGTTTGGCAAATATTGATATCTGTAAAATATAAAACAGCCTCCAAACAAAGTGTTCAGCATTTACAAGCGGTTCTGTAGATAAATAAGGATAAGTCCGTCATGCAGTATGCATCCTTCATCACTCGAAGGTTTAATGGCCGGGTACTGTTGTGAATCAGACACGTCACAATAAATAACGCTTACAGTCCCTTTATCATGTTTAACAATTAATGAAAATAAAATGGTTTCTTTCCTTGCTCTGCCATTTAGTTTGTCGTCTTTGTATTCTCCAGATAGAAAGCATACAGGGCCTGTTCTACTCTCTACCTAATCAAACTATTATTTTTATTATTATTATTATTATTATTATTATTATTATTATTATTATTATTATTATTATTATTATTATTATTATTATTATTATTATTATTACCCACAAGAAAAGAATTGATTGACTCATATCGTTAATTTTGCAGTTGTTGAAAGTATAAATATAAATAAAAACACAAGAAAAAAAAAAGATTTTGATTATTATTATTATTATTATTATTATTATTATTATTATTATTATTATTATTATTATTNGCAGAAAACGTAACTTGGAAAATACCCAGCATTTCATGTTGTTTCTCCTACCTTTGAATCCTTCCCACCAGTGTAAGTGAAGGTTTTATCTTTAAGACTAGGATATGGTTCATAGGAGGGGGAACCATGCAGAACATCACTCTGATAAACACCGACCTAGGGGTAAAGGTCAAAACTTTTAAATCTATTTATATCGTCTGCAGTACATTAGTCTGATAAACACCAATCTAGGAGCTTTAAAATCTGTGTTTAAAGCGCTTATCTGTAGAACATCACTCTGGTATACACCGACATAGAAGTTAACAAAAGTCAAAGCTTTTAAATATTTTCAGAAATCTGGTTAATTCTAAGTTCTGCATTTTTCTAGCTTTATTTTAAGATTAAAAAAACTCTTTAATTTGCAATGTTTCTTTTAAGAGGATTGCTGACAATCTGTCTTCAAAGATACAGATACAGATACAGATACAGATATAAATACAAATACAGATACAGACACATATGCAGATACATATATAGATACCGATACATACGCAGATACAGATACAGATACATCTACATCTACATCTACAGATACAGATACAGATACAGATACAGATACAGATACAGATACAGATACAGATACAGATACAGATACAGATACAGATACAGATACATATACAGATACAGATACAGATACAGATACAGATACAGATACAGATACAGATACAGATACAGATACAGATACAGATACAGATACAGATACAGATACAGATACAGATACAGATACAGATACAGATACAGATACAGATACAGATACATATGCAGATACATATGCAGATAAAGATACAGATACATATAAAATCACAGATAAAGATACAGAACGCATTGGTTGGTAAAGACATAATCTGAATTCACCTTGATATCTTTAAAAGCTTCAAGTCCGGTATTTAAAGTTCCAACAGTTTTCATCTTCCTAACCCACTGATCAAGTTCCCTAGATCAGTTCATGTTGAACCTAACAAGATTAGCACCTCAGGTCTAAACTTTTAAATATTTAATCTGTTGCTTTAGCGCCTAAACAGTTTCTTTTTCTCTCAATAGTTTAACCTGAAAGAGAGTGTTTGCGAAAATGAAATGGGTTATAGGCTGATTCCGAATTGAATTCGAATGTGATCGCTACTTATAGTTATGACCCATTCCATTAATTTTTTCAATGATTAAAAAAATATTTGTTTGGTTTTAATTTTCCATCTATTTCGTTTGTTTTTACATTTAACGATTATTTAAAAAAATGGTTCGTTCAGTAAAGTTTTCTGTTTACTAAAAAAAGATAGTTTTTTTAAAAGTTTGTTTATTAAAAACTATCGTTTTTCCAAAAGATTGTTCGTTTAGTTAAAAAAACTTTGGCTTTATAAAGTTGTTCCAAAAAATCGTTCTTTCAGTAAAACATCGCTTTTGAAAATTTTCGTTGATTAACATAAATATGTATATACATATGTATGTATATCGAATTAAGTCTCTAAAGATAAACGTTACCCAAATCAAAAGTTTTGCATTCTCTGACAAGTTTACAGTGTAATACCTGGCAATTCGATCTTCATTAGTTTCTCCGAGAACATATATATCGTTTCCTAGTCGGTCAGTTACTACAACCTCTTTCTAAATATATATTAAAGGGACTGTAGGCAAATATATATTAAAGGGACTATAGGTAAATATACATTAAAGGGACTGTAGGAAAATATATATTAAAGGGACTATAGGTGAATATATATTAAAGGGACTATAGGCAAATATATAGTTAAGGGACTGGAGGCAACTATATATTAAAGGGACTGTAGGCAAATATATATTAAAGGGACTGTAGGCAAATATATATTAAAGGGACTATACACGTAATTTCAAGGAACCACGCGTTTTTCAAAAAATTATTAAGATTTTTCATATGAATCAGATTTCAAATAAAAAAACTTTAGATGAAAATGGTGAAAATGTACATAATTGAAATGCTAAATTCCCTTTTTTAAAGATAAATAAACACCTTTTCTACAGGATGAGGAGGCGTGTCCTCTGGTGTCTCTTGGACCGTAGAGGATCTATAACTTTGCGTTCTCTGCAGCCTTCGCTTCCTTTCATCTCGCCTGTTGGAGTTTATATCAACACAAGAAAGACGACTTTCGATTTTAAATTTTTATTTCTCCCAAGCTTTCAAACAGCCATGGATACACAAAAACATGGAAATAAAGAGAAGCTGTCAATTAACAGCTTCTCCGTGTGTTAAATTGTAATATGAAAAAATTCTTTTTAAAAATCAAAAATTAAATAGAAAAGTCGTCTTTCTTGTATTGATACAAACGCCGACCAATCAAACGGTAAAAGGATTAATCACGATTAACTACTAAGTTAGATGTTTTTTCAAAATTTTTATAATCAAAAAATTCAAACTTAGATTTTTTAGTCTGACAGAAATTATATTTTGAAATATCAAAGGTCTACAACATCAAGTTGTAAAGATAAAGGGATTAGAAAATATGAGTTTGTGACGAAGACTCAATTCCTTTCCATGCAAAGATGGCAACACCCGATTAACAATAGTAATATTAAGACCTTTATCTGATAAATAGTGTGTTTTGATTTTGTCTTTTTTCTATGTTTTAAAAGTTTTTGATTCTGATAATTCCTTTTTATCTTCCTGCATGTCACTTTGGGATAAAACCACAATAAAAATGATTAGTTTTCAATATTATAAACATGGATATCCAATTCCTACTTGATTAGACAAATATATTAAGAATACCGTTGTAAATCGGATATTGCCATTTTTGCTTGAAGGGTCCCTTGAGGTTAAGCTTACTGTCCCTTTAGGCATGGATTTAATCCAATGTGATTTCAGACACTTTATTATATAAATTTTCTTTGATGATATTTTGCAAGACTTATTCTGCAGACAAGATATATTAGTTTAACAATTTATCAAACTTGATTATAGATCATAAATTGTTTTTAGAAATAGTTTTGGCTCCAAAATACAATTTTGTACCCCGAACATAATTTTTCAGATATTTAAGGGAGCGCGCCTATTAAAATTAAAGTAGCTAATACGTTCTTCAACGTATCTAGTAAAGAGGAACAAAAAAGAAATGTTCAAACAAATATAACCAAAAAAGATGCCATCTGTACCTGAGACGAAAGTCAAGAGCCGTTAGTCCTTGATGACGATTTGTCTCATTGTTTTCATCCTTTTCATTCTTCTCTAGTTCTCTAGTTTCCTTTACTCGAGATAAAATCAGACTAGATTCATACCTTCTGTCCAAAAATACAAAGTTTGAATTATTTCAAAATTTTCATTTTTTTCGAACATTATTTTTAATCTACTTTTTTGCCCACTAAGCTAATTCGTTTTTACGACAGAGAGAACATATTTTTTTTAATTCGAACTGATTGTTGAAACTGACAATTGAGACATGACAGTTGGGAGGCCCCTTGAAGGTCGTCTTTAATCTTCGTAATAATTTGCGGCATTCTTATCTCAACCTACTTTTTGATGCATAATTCTTGAAACTATAACCATAATTCCTCTAGTCCTGGGACAAATTGAGTTTTATTTGGCTTTATCACGGTTTGAAAAGTACCGGAATTATAAAAAAAGATTCTTTAGAAATAAATTTATTCAATAAATCCAAAATTTTATTTCATATAAACGAATTTTTAAAGCATTAAAAGGAAGACAAAAAGTTGTTAACACCGTGGGACTAGGGGTATTTGTGATTATTGTAAATACCGTGGGACTAGGGGTATTTTTTGATTAAAGTAAATACCGGTGGACTAGGAGTATTTTGTGATTATTGTAAATACCGTGGGACTAGGGGTATTTTTTGATTAAAGTAAATACCGTGGGACTAGGGGTATTTTGTTATTATTGTAAATACCGTGGGACTAGGGGTATTTTGTGATTATTGTAAATACCGTGGAACTAGGGGTATTTTGTGATTATTGTAAATACAGTGGAACTAGGGGTATTTTTTGATTATTGTAAATACCGTGGAACTAGGGGTATTTTTTGATTATTGTAAATACAGTGGAACAGGGGTATTTTTTGATTATTGTAAATACCGTGGGACTAGGGGTATTTTGTGATTATTGTGTTTACCGTGGAACTAGGAGTATTTTGTGGTTATTGTAAATACTGTGGGTAAAGTTTCCAACGCAAGTGGATTTTACTTGCGCGCAAGTGAATTTAATTGCGCCCATTTCCGTCCAAATTTCTTGCGCTGTGTTTCAATTTTTTGATAAAATTCAATTTAAACCTTATGGCACGCAAGAAATGCAATTAATTATTGCGCAATTCCTTTCAACAACAAAATATTCAATTTAAACCTTGGAAGTGCCATACAATAAACTGAACTTCACTAATATTTCAATCTCAAATGCTAAGAAAATTGAATTTAAACTTAATCTTTTGTTTTATGATATACATGTGCAGCATGATAACCAGAAAATCTGGCATAGGAAGACGACAGTTTATACTCAAGCAGACCCATGTAACTGGATAAGTGATTTAATAAGTTACTAAGTAATTTTGTTCGACTTGTAACTATAACATTAAATACACTGTGATGTTGTTTTTCTGTACCATAGTTTTCTGGTTCTCACTGTAGCAAAATATCTAATTTTTATAAAAAGAGCTTTACAATTTTAACCGAAAAAAGCTTCCATTTTATTGTTTTCATCCAATGTGAACAAATGAAAAATGTATCATATTAAATTGTTAATTAGTAGCTTAACCACAAGAAACTTTAAAATTTGAAAACTATTGAAACTAGTGACACTCCATGGCCTCGATTATTTTTAAATCAACAGAGATATTTAATTCCATTCTTGTATCTGCTGCATTTGTAAGTATAACATTTAGAATTATTGATTTTTAGGTATGCAACCAATTCCGATGCACGCAATTCCGCGCAATTCCGTGCAATTCAACGGAATTCGCGAATATTTAATTGCTTTCTTTTTTACAATTATAGCGCAATTGAGCACAATGAAATGGCGCAAGCGGAAGCAACCATTGCGCGCAATGGAATTCCGATTGGAAACCCTAACTGTGGGACTAGGGGTATTTTGTGATTATTACTCCTAGAATTTGATTTCTAAATCTAAAAATGCCGGGGTTCAAAAACGAACTTTAAGTCGTCCCCAAACTGTCATGTTTTGTGAAACACCCTGTACCTTTAGCTTCTTAATTTCTAAACTGTCATGTATTGTGAAACACCCTGTACCTGTAGCTTCTTAATTTCTAAACTGTCATGTTTTGTGAAACACCCTGTACCTGTAGTTTCTTAATTTCTAAACTGTCATGTTTTGTGAAACACCCTGTACCTGTAGCTTATTGATTTCTAAACTGTCATGTATTGTGAAACACCCTGTACCTGTAGCTTCTTAATTTCTAAACTGTCATGTTTTGTGAAACACCCTGTACCTGTAGCTTATTGATTTCTAAACTGTCATGTTTTGTGAAACACCCTGTACCTGTACCTTCTTAATTTCTAAATTGTTATGTATTGTGAAACACTCTGTACCTGTAGCTTCTTAACGATGATGACGTAGAAGGATAAAAGGATACACTGCAAGCCATTTAATTTTCTAAAAACGTGCAAAAATATCTTAATAATTAAATAATAGATTAATGTTTAATTTGCTCAAGAAAATAAGAGAATTAAGAAACTAATGAATCATAACGAGAAGCTGTACAGAAAAGAAGTCATGGGCATTGATTGGCTTGCATTTGACAAATGATTAAAAGCCATTTTCAAAACTGAAAAGTTGTCCAGGCCATGTTTACCCTCTAAATCAGTATATAGGTATTAATATCTGTCAAAGTATATTAAAACTGAGATCTATATGACGTGGGTTTAGGCTTCTACACAGTTTAAAGCTTTTCATATTTTCACACTTTTAATAAATCCCAATTAATTTGAAGCAATTAATATTTCTAGAAAAATCTTACTTCAAACAAAACTAATATAATATAGAGAGAGAGAAAAATTCGGAAAAAAATTATGATTTTTTTTCTTGAAAATGTTTCAAATTTTTTTCTTTTAACAGCTGTCTTCTCACTTCCTTGAAATGGCCTTTACCAAATTTTGACGTGAGAAAATTCAGATTTTACCGGCTAAATAGAAATAAATTGAACTTAAGATAGCTAGTGTACATCACATGATTTGAAGCTTAAAGTTTTAAACAAAAAAATTTAATTTTCTTCA